GGGGGGGGGGGGGGGGATGGGGCGTGGGGGCCGCGGCGGCGCGCGGGACCAGCCGCGGTTCGGGCGCCTGCTGGCATTGTCTCGATTGGTCGGATTATTTTTTGTGCCGTTGCGCCGTCCCTGCTATTAATCCAACGTGCGGCGAATTCAAAATCAATACAACCCAATCGCTCAAATCGCAGTGGAGCGTTGACGATGTCGAGCAGCTGATGGACGAGACGGCGGAGGCCAAGGAGTACCAGGTGATCTGGGGTGATCAATGGTTATACAGGTTGATCTGAAGTGATCTCAGGGGCTCGAGGTTGGCCTCGGCTCTGACATTCACGTATTACACGTTGGAGGGATGAGCGAGCCCCTTTGCAGACCACTGAGTTCCATCTGACAAAGCAGCTCAGGCCCGTCCCGTCCTTTGCTCGGCCCACCACAAGCGCGCGCCTGCGCACATTCCGCTCGCGCAGCTAAACGCGACAAGCGACACACGTCGCGCCCTCATCATCCCGCACCCCCCGACCCTCAAATTAAACCCTAAACCGCCACAGGACAAGGTGGCGGACGTGCTAAGCGGCCAGCTCAGCGATTTGGACGCAGAGGCGGCCGCGGTCGAGCTCGCCGCCCTCGAGGACTCTATCCTCGGGACGGCCGAAGAGCGCGCCGCGGCCGAGGCTGCCGAGCTGCCCGAGGTTCCGACACACGAGGTCGAGGAGCCCCTGCCGGCGGCGCCGACAGCCACGCACGCGGTGGAGGCAGGGGCCGCAGCGGCGCGGGAGGAGGAGGCGGAGGGGGAGCGGCGCCTGGAGGCGCCGCTGGCGGCGGCTTGACGCGTCTGGACGCGGCCACGCTGCTGCCATATTCACGGGGGGCGAGGGGCAGGTTCGCAGGGGCCGGGGGCTCGCGGCTCGACCCATCTGGGCGCGGCAGCGCTGCCGTTCTGAAGCGCTTCACAGGGCCCCAGGTCCTATGGCTTGACGCTGCGTCCCCAGATTTCCTGCGCGTGCTGAGGGCCGCGGCTCTTTGCGCTTGGCGCGACGCCCGCGTCCGCCAGGCGGCCCCCGCGGCCAGGCGTGCTCTCGCCCGCTGCCGGTCGGCGCAGCTCACTCCACCCCCGGGCCTGCTCCGCCCTTCCTCTGCGCTCCTTGCATTCCTCCCAAATTGATTGATTGATTGATTGGTTAATTGATGGCATTTTGACTCTGCTGATTGACGTGTGAAGCCCCCCCCCTGTGATCTGCACAGGCGAGCAATGCGCAGCCACAAGTGTCCGCTTGGCGTCAGGGGGCGCCCCCTTGGCCCACATCCACTTACATGGCATGCTGTGCGTTGCACGTTGCATGTGCAACCCCCACCCCCACGACCGCCCAGCATCTTTGACGCTGCGCATGCTGCGCGCGGCAGCGCGGCCGCCTGTTGCTGCCCGGGCCGTTGTCGCCGCCGTCGGTTGGGGGCTGTCGGTATGCCTTTCAGCAGCCGCTGGGCCATGCTGAACCCCAGACCCCAAGGTGTAAGCTGAGGGTAAAGCTTGACTTCAAACCCTGATGTGTGAGTTACTGCTGCCAGTCCGTGAAAGATCTCATGGTTTGTGAAAAGCGTGCCCCCGCCAGCAGGGTTTGAGGGGGGGCACGGGCGGCCCACAAAACACTGATGGACGAACAGGGGGATGATCAACATGGGGCAAGAAGGCAAGCTTTCACGGTAATGTTATGTATGCATGGCGGCGCAGCGGCGCGGCGCCCGTGCGCGGCGGCGGCAACAATGGGGGGAGCGATGGACGCGCCAAGCAGCGCGGGCGCCGCCGCAAAACAACAGCAGCAATGGGTGGTTGGTGGATTGGTTGGTTGGTGGGTCGAATCGGGCTGAAGGCAGTGGGTGTTGTGGAATTTCAAGGTGTTCTAAAAATGGCACCAGCGGAGCGGCAGGCCCGCGCAGGGCCAACGCCCCAGAAACAAGGGGTTGATTGACTAAGATTGAATCAGCTGTGGTGACAGAAAAAAATCTACAAACGAGCGCACACGGAGGGCTCTGATGGAAAGCGTGCGCCAGGCACAAACTGCGATGCTCTTCGGGCGCCTCCAGGCGCCGCGTCATCAAAACCTGGACGAGAGGAAGCTGCCCGGAAGCTGCGGTCGACGCGCGCCGGCGCACGCATCGGCGCTGCCGCGACTGCACTTGGCGGCCTGCCGGCTTCCCCCTCCGCCGTGCTGACTACGCACTCGTGCCGCCAGCTTGCGCGCGAGATTCGGCGCGCCCCTCATGCACATGTATTGCTTGATGGCAACCCCGCCGCCTCTGAGGCCGCCGGCATTTTCGGGGGGCGGTACAGCCTCAGCGCCAGCGAGAACGACATGATGCTGCCGCTGCATGGGCCGCCGCCCCTGCCGCACTGGCTACCCACTAATCCCGTCTGCTCGCGCACGAGATTATTCACCCTTCTTATGCAGAAATACACGACGGCCCGACGCCGGGGACACGTCAAGCCGTCGGCATCTTTGGGGGCCGGTACAGGCGCAGTGCCAAAGAGGAAGACACGACGCTGACGCTGCTGAGCGCCATCGCGAGCGCCGCCACCCAGGGCGGCATGAGCGCGTGCGTGAGCGGCCAGAGGGCGCCGGCAGCGATGGGGATAGCCAGGGCGTTGTACCTGAGGGGCGGGGGGGGGGGGGGTGGGGTTTCGGAGGTTTTGTATGTAAAGAGGGGGCAGGACAGCGGGGGAATTCATCGAAGACATGGTTTTGGGGGGCGGGACGGCAGGGGCTGTGGGTTGAGTCATGATGACGTCATCGGGAGATATTCACATCGAGGGTGATCAGATCGCGTGCGCACCCAGAGCATCCGTACGGTCGAGGGTGTGGGGGTTTGTCATGCGACAGGCCGCGCACCAGTGCATGACTAACCCCCACGCCCTGCCAACAGGCCTTGTTGCCATTGGGAAAAAGGCCCTCCACACACACTCACAAACTGCAGGGGGGGGCCGGGCCGACCACCCAGAAAACGGCAGGCTCCAAGCGCAATACGTATACATACACCATAAACAACGAAAAGGCACATAGTAAAATATGCATGCGTACAATCAGGTGTGGCGTTCGAAAACAGCAGCAAAAGCGATGATGAAGGATAGAGAGGGGGGCCCACCCGTATGCATAGAGGAAGTTGAGCTGGATGCGGCGGCACCCCGTGCATATACCATAATCAACCAAATTTGCACAATGATAAATACACATACACACAATCATGAATGCAATGAAATATAGCAGCAAAAGCATTGTGAAATACAGAGGGCGGCCCACCCGTACGCGTAGAGAAAGTTGAGCTGGATGCGGCGGAACCCCGTGCGCGCCAGGTCAAACGCCACCACCACGTCCCACAGGTTGCTGCGCATCAGGACCTGGCCGTTTGAATTTCGAATTTTGGCGGGAGGTCGGGTGGGTAGGAGTCAAAATGGGGTTCGGGGTAGGTGTGGTTTGTGGGGCGCATGAGGCTGGGGGAAGCGCGTGCAGTGTTTCGTTTGAACATGGCGAGTG